CCGGTCATTTTGGAATTACCAAGACCTCAGACCTTGTCAGTCGAACCTTTTACTGGCCTTCCATGTGGCGTTACATCAAGGATTACATCAACGGTTGTGACACCTGCCAACGGACAAAGTCATCCACTCACAAGCCTTATGGACTTTTACAACCCCTGCCTGTACCCGATCGCCCCTGGACCTCAGTATCGATGGATTTCATCACCCAACTCCCCCCCTCAAACGGCTATACGGCAATCTGTGTTTTTGTGGACCGATTCACCAAGATGGCACACTTTGTCCCCACCTACGACAACATCAATGCACAGGATACGGTCTGTTTGTTCCTAGAACGCGTATTTTCAGCCCACGGTCTCCCGGATGACATTGTTTCTGACAGAGGCGCCACCTTCACTTCAGCCTTCGTTTCCACCATGTTCAAGTCTCTGGGGATCAATCAGAAGCTTTCTACCGCCTACCACCAACGCACCGATGGACAGACCGAGAGAGTAAATTCAATACTGGAACAGTACCTACGAGGGTATATCGACTATCAGCAAACGGACTGGAGCACCCTTGAAAATTTTTACGCTAGTCACGCACAATCGAATTGATAAGACAAGAGAGGGATCTTTGTTAACAGCCCAGACACCTCCATTTATGTCGGTGTCTGGTCATATGACTAAATTACTGTCTCTAGCCTAATTACATTAGCTGACACCCCCGAGACAGGCAAATATGCGACAATCCCCTCCCATGGGAAAGGCTGAAAGCCGTCTGCTTAAAAACGCATATATGCTCTGCTCGTTTGTGTCTAAGAATCACTTGGACTCTGTGCATTATTTTACTGTTCTGCCAGGAAAAAATCTGAATAAAAACCTTGCAGACAGGTTGAGGATCAACAATCCTCACATGACATTAATTGTTCACTCAAGGCAAAAAATCGTTTAAAAATCCTTGCGAGGGGAAAACCCAAGAGGGAAAACCTCGAACGTGATTGTAGGGGAAGCGGAAAAACCCCTACTGCATTATTCATCGGATGCACTGATGATGCATGCTAATGACGATCAGGCATACGCCCGCGAATCGTCCTAAGCTCAATACTCATCTTCTCGCCATTAGCATTATTTCTTCGCAGTCGTTTAGACCTGCGTCGATCGACCAATTGATCTTCTTCTTCGTCGGGGTTTGCACGCTTGCATGTACCCTTATTAAGAGCATCACCATTGGATATGTTCTTTGATGTTTTAGTAGCACCTTTACGTTGCGATGGATTGAGCTCCTGCTCTTGACCCTTAGTCCCGAGAGTCGCGGCCGTTTGACGAGGCTGCGTTAGAGATTGCGATCCTGGTAGGTTTTTAGTCTTCCAGTAGTCTGTGATACACTTTCTCTCAATAAAATTCTCTTGAGGCTCCCAGGTTTCCTCTTTGTACCCTTTCCATTTTACGCGGTATTCCATCCCCCCCCTAGGTCCATGCCTGTGGTTGAGAACTTTTTCTACTACGTATGTGTCAGTTGCTTCAAAATCGTCGAGCACAAGCTTTAGCTGCGACGGCGCAAATTTACGACCTAACTCTTCTCCTGTGGCATCCTTCAACACATAGGATCCACCAGTTGTTCGTCTGACTACAATATAAGGGCCTTCATACCTAGGCGAAAGCTTGTCGCCCAAGATCGGGTCCAAAGACATAACCTTTGCTCCATCAGGGAATTCACTGTGCAGTACTGTTCTATTGAAACGCTCAATCATTCGACGTTGAGTTTCGCGGGTCTTAGTGTCAATCGCTGGAAAGACGGTCTTGGTCATGTACTCAAGCCGCTTTAAGAGCTCCTCCTGGGATGATAACTTCTCTGTCGTGTCCGAAAAATTGCTAATACCATTATAACGCCGCGCAAAAAACAAAGAAAATGGGGACGAATTGTGTAGAGCCACAATTCTGGTGTTCATAGCTAGCTGTGCCATAGGAACATGTTTCGCCCATGCTTGTTTATGGTCTTGAACCTCTTTGCGAATGATAGTGCATGCTGTTTTCACATGATTTTCGGCGACTCCGTTTCCGCGAGGGTGATAAGGGGTGAGTAACCTATGTTGCACTCCCATAGTGGTAGTCATCACTTGCACCGCCTCGTTAACGAATTCTCTGCCATTGTCAGATTGGAGGATACGTGGAAAACCAATAGTGGTGAAGATTTTGAACAAAACTTTTGCAATGGTCATCCCCTTCTTGTCAGGTATGGGTTCCAAGAAGACGAACCTTGTACAAACATCAACCAAAATGAGTAGGAATAGGTTTCCATCGCTCTCCACAGGGAATGGACCGGTCAAATCAACCGCCATATGTTCACCTGGTAACTGAGCATGAATGGCCGTCAGAGGGTGGTATCCCTTGCGTGCGATGTTGACTCGCTGGCATTCTTGGCAACGCTGAACATACTCCAAGCAATCCTTGGCCAGATTAGGCCACGTCTTTTGCAACGAATGAATATGCTTGACCATGGCATTGGTCCCAATGTGACCAAGCGCATGTGCGTCGACTAACACTCCTCTTCTCTCTGAGACAGCTACCGTCACACGTTGAGTGTCGGCGTCCTGGATTAAGTGAACATAACCATAAATTTTGCTCGGAGCAGATCCTTGAATGCGGGCTGTCCACAACTCTTGAGGAAACTGGCGAGACAAAGCGTCTGGTAAAACGTTCAGAACGCCAGGTCGATAAACAACCTTAAACGTGTAATCCAAAATAGTCTCCTGCCATGCGGTAAGCATCGAGTTCATATCCTTCTGCGTATGCATAAAAGTAAGAGCGCGATGATCCGTGAAAAGCGTAAAGTGACGGCCCCACAAATAGTAATGCAACTTCTTCAGTGCAAACACAATTGCCAATAACTCCTTCTGAGTTGTACTATAGCGTCGTTCACTGGGTTGCAATGAGCGCGCAACAAAAGAAATATATCTAATGTTTTTGGGATTCGCCTCGCCTTCCGGCAGCTGATATAAAATTGCTCCAATTCCAACGTTAGATGCATCTGTAGCAACATATAACGGCAAATTGAAATCCACCCAGCAAATTATGGGCGATAAGACCAACAAATTCTTTAGTGCCTCAAAGCTCTTCAACTGAGCAGCATTCAACGTAAATGGACCCACCACATTACGCATAGCATCTAGCGGAGCGCTAATGGTAGCTATAATGGGTACGTGATCGCGGAAAAAATTAAAAGTCCCCATATAAGATTGAACCTGCTTACCCGTAGTTGGGGGTTTCCAATCATTGATATTCACCAATTTATTGGGATCAATTCTTTTTCCATCAAGATCCACAATGAAGCCCAGCAACGCCACCTGCGTACTGTAGAACTTGCACTTGTCAAGGTTAATAATAAGCTTGGCATCAGTTAGCCGTTTAACCAACTCTATCATCTGAATCGCATGATCGCTTCTGTTCTTTGATGCGAGAAGAATGTCATCGATAAAATTTCTGACAAATTTCAAATCCCCAAGGATTCGGCTCATGCCACGCTGAAACAAACTGGACAAGGGCTTCAATCCAAAAGGAGCCTTCTTGAACATATATTGAATCCCGTTATGCATAAATGCCGTCAACGGCTGATCTTCTTCATGGATTGGTAATCGATGATACGCCTGCTTTAGGTCCACAGTCGAGAACACTGCATTGCCTCCAGCAAATTGCATGATGTCTGATATAAGTGGTACCGGAAAATTATCATCGGGTAGGTGCGCGTTTAAGGGCCGCGGATCCAAGCACACTCGGTAGAGAGTCTTGTTTCCGTTAGCATCTTTCTTAGCCGCTAGCGTTAATGTGTTGTTGTGTGCATTACCTGCAGGTGCTAATGTAATTACATCATCCTTCAGCCAATTCTGGATTGCTTCATCAAGAACCGGCATTTGCGATGCAGCAAATACTTTAGGTCTGCGGTAGAGGATAACGTCATCAGGGACTGGCAAATACACCTTCATTTCAGGTATAGTACAATGACTTGTATTTGGAATCTTGGCGTTTAACCTCAGCGACTCTTCTATACTCTTCATGAACGCGTCCTTTTCCGCAATAAATTCCTGCGTCTTTTCTCGTTCTGGAATCGTGAGAGGTATCAGCGTGGGCTTTTCGTCTTCAACTGGCGCTGGCATCCGTCCAGACGACTCATCTGCATCGGGTAGTCCAACGATATTGAATCCATAGCGGTGAAAGAGATCCATGCCAATGGTAACTGCATGACTCTGTTCAATAACCTCATATGGCGCGCTAAGCACATTCTGTCCACAGACAATCTCTACGTTTTCCGTTTCTCCAACGCGTTTAATGACAGACGAGTCAGCTAATTCAATGTATCCTTCCATTGGTTTAACCGGAATAGAATACTTTTTGACTACAGCTGCACTAATAAATGAATGTGTGGCACCAGTATCAATGAGTGCAAGATGTCGCTCTTGATTAAGATAAACAGGAACAAACAGTCGATTATCCGGCTGATGTTTTCGTTTACTTGAACCATAGTGCTTGTGTACTAACTCAAAGTCCTTCTCTCCAAAGGAGAATAATGGGTAACCATCACATGCGTCTGACACTGGGTTATCACTAATTGAAAATCTTTCGAAGGCCCTTAGGTACTCGTCGTCTACTACATCCTCGATGTTGTACTCGGCCGGTGCATTATCTCTTCCTTCTTTAACAATGCCCATAGCTCCATACTTCACCTTTGCTTGGTCGACAGCCACTTTAGCATCACCGCTACCTTCCCCCCCGTCGAGAGGATGCATCGGCAATGGACCTACATGAACTCTCATACCCAAACCGGATTCACCACGCAGTTTGCTCTTCAATTCGATTTTCGCAATACCCTTTGCATTCTTCTTTTTCTTCTTTCTCTTCTTCACTGTTTCACTCCGTGGGTTGATGTCACTGACATTCTTCTCGTCAGTTGTTGTTTCATTCACTATGACTACTTCTGTTAAACTGTGCGACTGCTCCTCCAGTTCATGTACATCAGTTTGTTGCATCTCACTGCTTGTTTCCACCTGTTTGGAATGCAGAATGAAAGACGCGTCGTTAGTCATGCGGTCATGTTCGACTTCGGTGACGTCACCATTTTCGTTACTCATCTCAACGACATCTTGGTCGACAACAGACATCTCACCACCATCTACTTCAACTTTTTCTTCAGATGCATCATCATACTCAACAGTGTGGTTTAGCTTACCATTGCTGTTTCCTCTGCCAGGATAAGGATGGTGTCCACGGTTGAAGTTCCTCTTGTAACCTCCACGACCATGACTGCCTCCTCGACCTCTAGGCGCACCAGAACCACTACCATTACCGAAGGCGCCACGTTGACCGCCGAATCCAGCATTCCCCTTCTGGACCGAACTGTCACCCGCTGTAGGAACTTGGTTGATGCTACCACCAGTAGTCCCCCCGACACGCGTTCCACTTGTCGTCGCAAGCGTTGCTGCTGCCGCTGCCCTCTTCTGCTGGTTGATGAGCTTATCCTTTAAACTCTGGGCCTGCCTCGCTGCTTCGTTATCTGCAGCCCCGGTCAATCGTCTCCTCTCCAAAATAACCGGTGCCCACTCATCACTGTCTGCGGGTCCCTGCATATGCTGCAAACTGTCCATATAAGACTCGAAGGTTGTTTCATCAGGTGCCACACCCAGCATCCCCTCAAGGACCTGCAATGCGCTTCTGCAACAAGATCATCGTAAGAACGCTCGGGTCGACCGCTCTCTGCAGCAAGAATAACAAATCAGCGAACTTGGGTAAGTCCTTGACTTGGTACACATCCATCAACCTCTTCATCCGATGGTAGTACTGCTTGTACGATTCACCTCGTTCTAATCCCATCTTGATCACCTTCTCAACCTCATCTGTTCTCTCAGTCTGCGTCATAGCACTCTCCACAAACACTTTCTCGCATCTCGCCCACGGCCACTTTCCTTCAGGGTCACGACTCAAGACTGCATTCATGGCATCAGACGCTTTGCGATCCATATTCGCCAAGCACAACAACCTTGAACATCTCTCATCGAACCCGCCCGTCGTGAACTTTGTTACTCCTATTCTATGGAATTCGTACAGGAACTCTCGGACGTTGGTAATCAAGGGACCGTGGATCTTGATGTCAAGAACAGGAAGCAGATGAGCCTCGACCAACCGATGGTAACGCGGAAACTCATTCGACAACTTGATCTCGTCAATCTTTCCACCCTTCTTAACCCCCAACTCCTCATTCTCCTCTCTGGTCACAACACTAGAGAATGCCGTCCTCCCCATGGACCTCTCAGCACTCTCTAGGTCATCCAGCATGACATTCCACTCGTTCATCGCGGTCTTGGCCTCAGCGATCTGACGTGTTAGTTCCGCCAACTTTGGTCGCTCCTGGTCGCCCTCCTCTTGGCTCAACCCTTGGATGCGCGCGGCTAACTGCATCTTCTGTCTCGTCAACGTCGCCAGTTGCATCGAATACTCCTTCATCTTTCCTCTGGCTGCATGGGCATCCATAAAGTCAGAGCCAACAGTCTCCTGCATGTCAACATCAACGTCCATGCCTGCTCCCTCATCTCGTCCCGACGTCAAGGTAAGTGCATCTAACGCACCAACAACCTTATTGCCAACGTCCTCGTTCTTCTTTGCCGTATTCGCTGCCATTCTCTATGACCCAATTAAAGGAAAAGAAAACAAACAGACAAGCAGAATAAACAGAAAACGAAATGAGCTTTTGAAAACTGATGATCAACCAGACTGCACCCCAGAAAAAATAATACTGTTACTACTAACGTCAACTTCCAGTACTTTTTTGCTCAGTGATCCACTTGATTCAAAATAAAAATAAAAAACAACACCCAGAAAAAAACTAAAAGTTTTCTGATGCAAATGAATTCGGATGAGGGCACACCTAAATGCCAACAAAGACGAATCCCGCGTTTATTTGAACAAGAATGTCCTTGATCAAAACTAACGGTGAGTTTTCTAATGAATCTCTGCTACCGTGTTATATGAAGACCTCAAATGACCACACAGATGTATGATCGCACTTGAAAGCTCCAACACAAAAAGGTAGAATAGTAACCAAATAATAACAACGAAAGTAACCGCCTGTTACACTTCGTATTAATGATCAGTCTCTGCTGTAACCTTGTCACTAGTGACCAGATGCACGCACGAAATGACCACAAATAAAAGAAAAGGATCCTGTCCTTGTTGGATTATCCTGAAAATAGAGAAAAATCCTGACAGTAAAGGTCCTGTTCTGTAATGATCCGTAAATGCTCCCGTTACGTCCTGAATCGCTCCTGTAGATTGATGGAGTGTTCCTCGTAATGGGTTGAATGAATAAATAAATGAGTGGATGGATCCTGTCAATCGTTGGACGGATTCTGATCCCGATCCGTGTTGTATTTATCAAAAAAAATGAAAATTTTTACGCTAGTCACGCACAATCGAATTGATAAGACAAGAGAGGGATCTTTGTTAACAGCCCAGACACCTCCATTTATGTCGGTGTCTGGTCATATGACTAAATTACTGTCTCTAGCCTAAGGAGGCCTTTCAGGTCCAAGTTATCATATGGTGTTTGTTACATCTCTGTAGATCTCGACAATATCCATAGCGACTATGGGATGAGAATGTATATATGATACCAAGCATATAAGACAACCATTGTAACATTTTTTGTTTAACTATCCTACTAAACACCAACCTATTCTCCAAACAACAAAGTCTTCTTATTTTTCGCACACCACACTCTTGAATATGTCCATCTACTATTAACCTGTAACCCTCACTGCAAGATTCGCCAGAGTAGTTCTTGTATGTCATCATCTAAAGCACTTGTACTCTCAACTGTATCTTTGGGGCGAAATACAGGGGAGAGATTACATTTTAAAAAAACATGTGCTGTCTATTGCTATTTTATTCTGTGTTCTGTTGCCCACTATGAAGAGATATGTCAGTTATGGAAGTAAACACTCCGTTCCTTGGGCTTTGGATATTTTTTATATGCCTTTTTATATCCTCTGCACATGAAGGGGCTGCTACCGAATAAAATATAAAAATATATTTGTATTCTCAACTATGTGCTTGCTGTATGATAGATACCATCCTACATGCTGTTGTGTATGCAGTTAAGTATAAGCCTTTTTAAAAAATTGTTATTGTTGGTTAACGTCATGACAATCCAATACATAAATATTATTATGGATCTAACAAAACACTTCCAACAACTGCTTGATGACCATTGGACTTTCCTCAACGCTGGATGGCCAACAATTACACCACGTAATAATCATCGTACTGTAAGCAAGGAAATTGGGTATATGCCAGAAATAAAAGAAACCCTAAATCGACGCCTTGGTCCTATTCCAGTGTACTTCTTTCTTGTTGACATCTGGCCAAAGGTTAAGTATCCTGGTCCATACAAAGAAGTGGAGAAAGGTCTTTTAATGCTCTATCATCTTGTCAAAGGACTGTCTATGGAAGCAATGGAACCACACATGCCAAAAAGTAGTTTTCATGCAATGCACTCTGTGTTTTATAAGAAAGAATATACTTTGCACAACAAGTACATCACCAACTGTATTGCAACAATGTTCTCCACAATTAAAATACGCCTATTGTCTGCAAAGGAAAAGAATCCTCCATTATTTAAGCATGTTACATTGCATCTTGATGGTCATGATACAAGAGCAACATACAAAGGTGAGAGCAGTGCTGATATGTACTCTTACAAGCTGAAAAAGTCAGGGTTACGCACACAGGTAGCAATGGATTGTAATGGCATGGCCTTATTTGTCTCCAAATCTGCATCTTGCAAGAACAATGCTGATGGAACAATGCTGCTAACGATGAAGTTGGACAAGAGAGTGCATGAGATGGATTGCATTGCTCTCGATGGAGGGTATCCACAGTTCTTAAGGAGGCTTATAGATGAGTCTGATACTCTTAAAGTCCAAAATTTCGCTCATCCATACCGTAAACAGAAGAACAAGGAACTTACACAGGAAGAAGCGTTATACAATACCACCTTTGGTAGTTTCCGCTCGCAGATGGAATCTCTGTTTGCAGACCTTGGTTCCACATTTGAGAAACACAACAACCGTACTCCTGTGTTGGTGGATAAGAAACAAACATATAATTTGCAGTTGAAGTTATCTTTGTTACTCTTAAACATGAAAAAGATGGTTGCTTTGTTGAAGATTTCTGCAGAACCAATTCATACAGCTTGGCTTCGCGAAGGATTCGAGTATCCGACGACAGAGAACGACGTTGAGCAACCAATGGGATATGTTGATGTTGGTGCGCTAGTGGAGGATGGAAATACAATGGCACAACTCCAGAACAAATTTCTTGGTATTAATCTTCATGGTGATGTTGATGTTAATGTTGATGAGGACACACCAATGGATCAAGCAGTAATAATGCAACCCGGTCTTTCCATTGAGCTTAGAGGTACGAAGCGACAAATGGATGTTAATGGTAATCTGTAGACTTATTGCAGGTTTTTAAAAGAATAGACATACATGGCCTATTTAGTCAGCTTTAAGATACGGTATTAACTGCCAAGACGCTAATATGCACCGGTATCTATTATTAAAAGCCATGGTATTATTGTAGTAGATCGGATGCTATTCTATGCTATTCTACAGCATTCCTTTTTATTTAACACAGAGGATAAACACATGTACAAACCTACGTCATAAAATAATACTACATTCTTAACCATTTTTAAACCCCGTCTTTAATGCCAAGCAGTCTTAATAAGCAAGATCTACGTCATACGAGGAACACTACATTATTAACCACTTAGATGCCTTTTTAAAACTCTTTTGTTACTAAGCGCCAAGCAGTGCTAATAAGCAAGCGCTATTAATGTCCATTGTGGCAGTGTTCCTGAATTAGTATAAATAAAGGAGTCCACTTCCCTCTTGCTTAATCTTTATCTAGTAACCAACCAACAATTATCCATATCTATACAACCATCCATACCTATACAACCATCTTTTATTGCAATTCTTTATATCAGTGTACTAAGCAGCTGCAATCTACCACACATAAACTGAAAACTCATTCACACCCACCATACCACAAGTACAATCCATATTATTCATATCCAAAAACATGAAGTACGTTCAGCTTACAATCGAGCTCATCACCAAGGCCTTTGAGACATTCTCCTCTAAGAAGGGAGTGGAGTTTAACAAGAAAGATGCAAATAAGATCTTTAAGGCGCTTGATGAGGATGAGGAAGTAGAGAGATACTACTTTTGTGGAGAAAAGTGCACCAAGTCCAAGCGCAAATGCATGAAGGAAGTTGATGATGAAGGCATGCATTGTTATGTCCACGATCCTGCGCGCAAGTGTCAAGGCACAACTATTAAGGGTGCTAATTGTGGTAGTGTAGCCAAACTTGGTCAAACATACTGTGGACGTCATCAAGATCAAGATAGAGGTTATATAAAACGTAGTAACAACAACGCACCTGTCGACAAGCGTACTAAGTCTTCCAAGGCTTTAAAGAAGACACATACTTCTAAGTTTGTGTCTTCCGATGACGATATGACTTCCGAGGATGAAGAACCAAAGAAGCGAAAGAGAAACAAGCAGGAGTCATCGGATGAAGAGCCGTCCGATGATGATGATGAAGAAGATATAATTGCCGTCTCCTTTCCGTTGAGTCCAAAGGTAGTTGACATAACGTCCAAGAAAAATGTACCACTCGCTAATACATGTATATGGACGCGTTATGCAACTAATCCAGCTTTCCTGTATGCAAAAAGCTTTACTGTAAATGGCAAGTACATTATTAGGCTAAAGGAAAAGAATCTCTACATTGCATTGTGTCCACCTAAGCTCATGGGCAAGAATCTCCCTGCGCCAGAAATATCTGAGAAAGAGGCACGCATATTGGCCAAGATGGGTCTTCAAGAGGCAACTTCAGCAGATGTAGAAAAAATAGAAGAGTCTTCTGCTGATGAGAATTCTGACGATGATACAGATGATGGTGATACGTCTGATAATGCTGACTCTGAGGATGATTCCTCTAAAGATAAAGACTCTGATGATGGCAAGTCCAATAACAGACCTGATGTAGAATCTGGAGATGATACCTCTAAGGATAACCCTGATGAAAAACTATCTCATAAAAAGTCATCTAAGGATGATGAGAAGAAGACTTCTCGAAAGAAAAGGCATTCAGAGATGCCCAAAAATGCAGAGCCATCTTCTAATGTAGATGTTTCTAAGGATGAAAAAGATGAACACACATTTGCACTGGCCACAACGGTGCGTAACATTAGATCAGAGAAAGACATACCACTTGCAAAGGATGGAGGATGGATGGTTCATCCTAATAACGACATGCTTGAGTATGCAACTAACTTTACGATGAAGGCTAAGTACATTGTCAAGCTATGTGGAAAGAATACATACGTTGGCCTGTTTACGCTTGATCATCTGCGTGGCGGTGGTGATGTTCCAGAGATGGATATCTTGGAACGCTCCATGCTTAGCAAGATGAAACTTCAAGAAATGTCTGATGAAGAGAGAAAGATGCTTTTCAACGAGGAGGTCGAAGTAGAAGAGGAACTACCAGTGGAAGGACCGACAGATATATCCAAGATGAAATGGAAAAGGTTTCACAAGCAGCAATT